TGCCATTGTGTGGGGATGTCTCAGGCGGCTTGCTAATTTTGCACCCCTAAGGGGAGCCGCCAGGGGTGTTGTCACGGGCCCATTCGCTGCCAGTTTGTGGGGATGTCTCAAGCGGTTTGCTTGTTCTCATGCCCAACATCGTTGGTTGTCAGAACAAATGCTGAGGATGTCTCAGCGGGGCGCTGGTTTCAGCACCTCTAAAAGGAGCCGCCAGGGGGTAGGACACGGGCCCGTTCGCTGCCAGATTGTGGGGATGTGTCAAGCGGTGTGCTCGTTGTCGTGCCCAACACCCTTGGCTTGCAGAGCAGATTTCGAGGATGTCTCAGGCGGGGCGCTGGCTTCAGCACCCCTAAGGGGAGCCGCCAGGGGTGGTTTCACGGGCCCGTTCGCGGCCAGTTTGAGGAGGGGGAATGAATGGGAGGTTCATGTTCAATCATACTCAAAGCTCACTCTGACTCATACTCACTCACTCGCAGTAGGATTCACTCGTCTTCGTCGGCCCTGTCGCCCACGTGGACGCGCTAGTATAGTCGAACGCTCATGAACAGACGCGCACTATGGCATGACACAAACATGAGATGCACATATGGGGAACTCCACGCAGTGAATAAATTACTAACTGCGTGGAGCTCCTCAGATGTGCATATCATGTGTTATGTCATGCCATAGTGAGCGTCTGTTCATGAGCGCACTGACGGGCAAACCGCATGGGACATCCCCGCAAAATGGCCGCGAACGGGCCCGTGTCCTACCCCCTTGGCGGCTCTCCTTAGGGATGCTTGCTGAGCATGAAAACGAGCAAACCGCATGAGACATCCCCACAAACTGGCCGCGAACGGGCCCATATCCTACCCCCTGGCGGCTCCCCTTAGGGGTGCTGAAACCAGCGCCCCGCCTGAGACATCCTCACAATCTGCTCTGAAAACAAAAGGTGGTGAGCATGAAAGCGAGCAAACCGCATGAGACATGCCCTCCCAATGGCCGCGAAACGGGCCCTCGAAACCACCCCTGGCGGCTCCCCTAAGGGGTGCTGAAACCAGCGCCCCGCCTGAGACATCCTCAAAACCTCTCATGGAAACCAAGGATGTTGAGCATGAAAACGAGCAAACCGCCTGAGACATCCCCACAGAATGGCTGCGAACGGGTCCGTGCGAACACCCTTGGCGGTTCCCCTTAGGGATGCTGAAACCAGCGCCCTGCCTGAGACATTCCCACAGTCTGCTGTGAAAGCAAAAGGTGTTGAGCATGAAAACGAACAAACCGCTTGAGACATCCCCACAAAATGGCCGCGAACGGGCCCTCGAAACCACCCCTGGCGGCTCCCCTAAGGGTTGCTGAGACCAGCGCCCCGCCTGAGACATCATCAAACCCTCTTATGACAACCAAAGATGTTGAGCATGAGAACGAGCAAACCGCCTGAGACATCCCCACAAAATGGCTGCGAACGGGCCCGTGCAAACACCCCTGGCGGCTCCCATTAGGGGTGCTGAAACCAGCGCCCCGCCTCAGGCATTCTCACAATCTGCCTTCCAAACGAAGGATGTTGAGCATGAAAACAGGCAAACCGCTTGAGACATCCCCACAAAATGGTTACGAACGGGCCCGTGTCCTACCCCCTGGCGGCTCCCCTAAGGGGTACTGAAACCAGCGCCCCGCCTGAGACATCCTCCGAATCTGATGTGTGTTGGGTAAGTCAGACTAAGAGAAGGTCTGAGTATGCGTAGGTCTGAGTATGAGTATAAGTATGTGTATGAGTACGTCTGGGTATGAGTAAGTCTGAGTATGAGCAAGTCCGTGCATGAGAAAGTCTGTGTATAAGAAAGTCTGGGCATGAGTAAGTCTGAATATGAGTGAGTCCGAGTAGGAGGAGACGAGAAGAGGAGGGGATGAGAAGAGGAAGGCGGAGAAGTAAGAGGCGTCCAAGTACTAACAAGAACCCCATCTTAGGATAGCGAGACTGAGTACGAGTAAGTCTGAGTATGACTTGGTCTGAATATAAATAAATCTGACCATGAGAAAGTATGGGTATGAGTAAGTCTGAGTATGACTAGGTCTGTATATAAATGAGCCTGAGGAAGAAAGGAAGGAGGGGGAGGGAGGAGAGGAGGGGTTCTGGTTATGGTTGGAGTCGGCGCCGTCCAAGTAATAACAAGAACCCCATCTTAGGATATGGGAAACGAGAACCCCATCTTAGGATAGCGAGACTGAGTATGAGTAAGTATGAGCATGGCTTGGTCTGGGTATGCATGAATCTGACCATAAGAAAGTTTGAGTGTGAGTAAGTCTGAGTATGACTAGGTCTGAGTATGAATGAGTCTGAGTAAGAGTAAGTCAGTCTGTGCATGAGTAAGTTTTAGGAGGAAGAGAGGAAGGAGAAGGGAGGAGAGGAGGGGTTCTGGTTCTGGTTGGAGTTGGCGCCGTCCAAGTAATAACAAGAATCCCATCTTAGGATATCCTGGCAAAGCAACCTAACAGCGATGTGTATATGCATATCTGGAAG